TGGGGTGTGGTGCAGGGCGGGGGATGCCTGGTCGGCGGGAACCCGGCACGGAACCCTCCGGCGTTGTAGGCGGGTGTGGGAAGCGTTCCCCGTTCTCCTTTTATTTTATTTTGATCGGTCTCCTCGACGCTTTTTCTCGTTTGGTGCGGTAGCTGGTCTTTCTTTCTATCATTTTGTTTCTCTTCCGAATGGTTTTTGTACCCTATTTTTTTCTGTTTCTTCGTGGGATCGTGTATGCCGGGTTTTGAGACCACGAGCTCCCAATCTTTCTTTTTTAGAGCTAATGTGAGAAACAACAACAACAACAACAACAACTATGGCTCAGATGCTTGCTGTGGTTGTCAACGAGAAGAAAACTGATTAGGGTGCGCATTTGCCGCTCGTCGAGTTTGCCTACAACAACTCTGTCAATCAATAAGCCACCGGGTTGGCGCCGAACGAGATACACATGGGACGAATTGCGCGATTACCGCTTTCGGTGTTTGATCACCTTACGGTCGGTGGTCATCAGAGTTTAGATCGACACCAATTGTAGTACTGCAACTTGGCTGTGGACCGCCAACGTCGGTGCGATCTCTTCCGTGAGTACAACGCGCTCACAATTTCGCGTGTCGAGCGCCGCAACTCCTCTCTTCTTGATGCCATGCATAGTCTAAGTTCCCTACGTTTACCGCTGGAAGTTGAGTTTGGGTGTACAGCACAACTGCAACCATTCGGCAAGCGGCCAAGAAGGACACGGATCGACAGGTGCTCAAGGCTACTTTTTCGCTTCCTTGGACAGTGTCCTACAAAGTTCTTGCTGTGAGTCCCGCCTCTGCTGGCGATTCCAGATGGCCGGCCTTTGGGAAGCAAACTGCTGTTTCTGGATCTCCCTTCGGATCTTTCTGGTCCGGACGCTCGCGCCCGTGTGTCGGTCTTACGATGAAAACCCTGCCGCAATCCGTATGACACGGACGATTTACCGCAGTCTCTGCCTGCTGATCTCTCGCGATATGTCTTGCATTCTTTTGGAGCCAAGAAACCGCCGTTCCATGTTACCGTGGACGACGTGTCTGCGCCTGTCGGTGGTCTTGAAGTGGGCTACATTTCGAAACATCGATTTCGTCGACGCCGTGACGACATCGTCGCGGTATTGTACCAGACTCACTGAATCGGCCTCACCACTCTGTCTTGGGAACGTGAATCCGATCTGGATCAGTTTCGTAGGCACATTTTTTGTAATGGTCTAACGAGATCTGCCAAGACAAGCAGGGAACCGCAGTTATCGCTTGACTCGTACTCGGGCAGCACACCGCGAGCTTTGCAAGGTCTCGAGGAGAACGGTACATGCCTCCAGGATTTAGTCTTGTGTCTCACCAGACTTGGCTTCGTCGCTATTGACTTCATTCTCACGAAAAGGCACTTTTCATATTTCGATAAAAAGCGAACGCCGGATTGCAACGATCCGGATATGCCCACGTATCGACTTACGAAATTATGGAGAACCCTTTGTAGGATCTAACAAACAAGGAGCTCTACTATTGTTAAAAGATACAAATCACAAAGAATGGCAATCGGTGAAGTATGTTTCTCTTTTGTCCGCCCTGCTCCTTCCATCATCTGATTCACTGTTCGCTCTTTTTTATTTTACTATTGCACGTACGTGCATGCGATTATGCCAACAACTGCTGCGCGTTCGTCCCAGGGTAGGCGCCATCCGCGGGGAGCTCGTGCCCCTCTCTGCCAAGCGCCACCGCGTGGCCCGGCGGCTCGCACGGGTACACCTCGTGGACGGAGCCACGGGCGCCGCAAAGGCCGGCAAGGCGGTGGCGGCCGGTCTGCGGCCGGCCCTTGAAGTGCCCACCTTCTCGCACTGCCGGGCGAACGCGGGCCACTTCCGCGACCTGGCGCGCGGGCTCCGCTCGGGTCTCGCCCCGAGGCTGCGCGTGCTAGGGTGGGACGACCAGTCCACGATCAGGGACGCCGCGCTCGATGACGTCATCCTAGGCGCGCTGTCCTGGGGGCACTGCCCACTCGTGGAACGCCTCAGCTTCACGGGAACCCGTTTCTGCCCGGAGCACAGCATCAGATACCTGGAGGAGATGTTTTGGGTCTGCCCTCGGTTGCGGGAGCTGCGCATGGACTGCAGCCGCACGCCTCACCATCAGCTGAGGGTCCTGGCGGGCGCCCTAGCAGGAGAGCACGTGCCACGTCTGGAGCGGCTTCTCGTCAGGGCAACGGCGCCGTACTACCGCGACAGCGACGTGGAGCTGCTGGCGCTGAAGCTGGCCGCGGCTTCGAGGAGCCCTCCCGTGGCGCTCGAGTTACAGATCAAGACGCGACTGAAACAATAACAGAAGAAGTGGTTGCTAGTGACAACTGTTATTGTTTCAGTCGCGTCTTTATCTGTAACTGTTCGGATGAATAGATATACTTGTACTTGAAGGACTCAATCAAATAGGTTGGATGCCGCATTCTATGTTGCATCTATCTAATCTGTCTAGTCAACTCTTTAGCACATGTGGACATTCTTGTTTGTTCGAACATCTTCGGGTTTTTGGTGTCTACAGTACTTCGGGTCAATATTGCGTTTGTCCCAGAGAGCTCTGCGTATTGTTCTTCTTCTCGCCCCGTGTCCGCCTAGCAGCAATTTGGACTAGACTAATACTGTTCAATTTGGCCCTATTGCGTACTGCGTAGTAGCCGTCGAGGCAGCTGTGACTCGCCAACATGGAGTCGAGGCCCAGTTTCTTCGTCACCACTGTCGAGCACAGGTTGAAAATATATCGAGAGTATTGTGTAGGCATTCTTTGTAACCTATTTTCTTCATTTCGTGAAAATTGAGCCTTTGTTCTCAAACGGACTACTTCTCGACTGTAGTCCATTTTCTGTATGGTACTTGTAGGTAGCCATGTGATGGTGGTGCGTTACCATACTTATTTGACGCTATGTATCAAAAGTAAAGTGTGTTCTGACATCATAGCAAGATTCAGGTCTTGTTCCGATTCAAGTGCCCTCCTCCCGTTCAGTGTTATACTTGGGGTCTGGTTTGTGTTGGGTCCCGGCTGCTGCATGGTAGACAATACATGCAAGGCGATCGCAGACGAGCTTCTTCAAGGCGAGAACAAAGAAAAATAGCAACAACCTGCACCTACCCGTGGTCGAGATGGTTCCACACAGCCCCAAGGTGATTACGGTGATGTCAGATCACATTATAACCCTCGAGGGACGAACGATCCATTTATTCAATCACTGTTCAAGACCGGCGGCATCCCAAAGAGATTAGATCGGAAAATAAATGCCATACGTACGACACATGTAAGTATGTGATGCGCTGAATCTGAGCTGCAACTGATCGTGTTATCCTTGAAAAGCCTATGGAGCAGGATGGGTGTACGTGACGGGTGCGAGAAGAACAATATCGCCACCCCGGCCGCTTGAGACGAGATTTCGCTCCCGAACAGAAACCAACCCACCAGAATCACAAAGACAATCACAACGACGATGGTGGATGTGTGGACCAAGTATGGGAACAGATGCTGAAAAAGGAGGCACCCGACAAACATTTGGCTAGACTTGGAGGGATTACGCTAGTAGTATAAACGTAGAATCTCAGACGCACGGCGCTCACGCGCGCTTATTTTTTTGGGTCAGCGGATGATGTCGTTGGTTGCGGCACACACTGGCTGCAACACGCAAGACGAAAGAAATGTGTTTACTGGTTCAAGGTTATATTGAACTTGTCGTGGGGATGCATGCCTGAGAAACTTCACCCCACCCGTGTATCTTCAAACTTTCAGCCCCACGGGAACCCCCCCCCCAAAAAAAGGCAGCACACACAGCGAACCATGGGCCTGATCCGCCTGCACACAAGTTGCTTGAGTCATCCATCTCATTGATCACTCGTTGCTAGAACACCAAACAAACAGCGCGATTGGGGGAACACTACACGCCAAAAACGCAAGAGATAACACCACCGAAGTATCATCAACTACGTGTCGCAGGTCGGGCCCCATCCCACCCCCCCCTCCTCTTTCCGGTCTCTATTGGACGCTGGCACTTCCGGGGAGCGGTAAGAGGTAAAGTAGCGACCGCTGCATGTTCACGGGGGCTTAAACGGATCTATCCCTTGCCTTCAATGGGTGGCCGATCCCATGGATCAAACATGGTGGACTCTCGCGCGCCGTTGCCTACAAAGAAAGCAGCATCGTCGGCGAAGGCGAACATAATGTATCTCCACCGTCCAGGCGCACATGCCTCTTAGTAGTACGCGGAACAGCATGACAAAGCGAAATGTTCAATTTCTGCATCAATTCAATTGTTAGTGTTGCCCAGTGGTAGTACCTATGAGGAGTAGGCTGCTGGCAATCTGTGATCGCCTGAGGAGTACCTCCTTAAGCAAATGATGTCCCTAAACGTGGAAAACAGGTCATTAGAAAGTTCCATTGATGGACGAAGGCACGTTTGTTTGTGCCAGTTCGGTGTGATGGGTGACAAGTGTTCGGGTTCCTCAAACGTGCTCTGGAGCGTTGTTTGGACAAGATCCTCACGGCGAGCATGCGCCAGGATTTTCCACATGGTCGGGCATATCCCCCCATCCGCAGGTACACTGCATACAGAACGTGCGCCAGTGGGGAGGCCACATACACACGATGAACTTCAACACCGTTCTGTTAAAATACTCGTACATCCGCGGATAACAATAGCCGCGGTTTCAAAACAATCCGTTGACCAAATGAAGCTCGACTAGCTCCAGCATTCTCTGCGACCACGATCCACGACGGTTTTTGTTCCGAAGAACGTAGTTCACATGCTTGCAGCGTTTGTGGCTGTGGTAATTTCAGAAGTCGAACGTAAACATAGTTCGTGGGGTAGCTCTACTATGTACACGGGTAGAAATCCTCACTTGCGGCAAGCAATGTCGAAGAGTTCTACGATCCCCGGAGAGGTGATGGGGAAAGGAATATTCCAGTGGGACTGAATCCGCCATTCTTTTCGTCATCAGACCCGTCCTCGGCTGCCCCACCCGCTCCGCCTGGTCGACTGGCACAGCACTTCCTCGATAATATGGTCGGTCGCATGAGCTCGTCACGATAGGTGACAGGCAGCACACAAACGCGTAGAGTAGGGCAGAACGGGGAGGGAAGGGCGGTGGCAAAAGGAGTCGGTGCTCGAAATCGAGAAAGTGCGTGTTCCACCCGTTGTTTTCCGACCAAGAAAAGGGCAACAAGGTAGCCCCCAAATACCACTTGAGTAGGTGGGTAGGCGCGGCAGGCAAATATTGACATTCATCTATGAAACAACAACAGACATGAAGAGTAAGACCGGGCAACTAGGCAAATACATGTGCTAAAGGCCCCGATGTCTACATAGAGTCGGCGCTCTCAGAAACCGATGGGATATGAACATGAGAAACCAAACGGTCTACGTCTGCTGATCGCATTTTCACTCGACAACGTTCAAGCTATCCTCCATGATGCGACAGCGAACGGCATGGCTCGGCCGGTTTACCAGTGCGCCGTGTGAACGAACCGAAACAAGCGAAGTTTCGCCAATTGCCAGAAAGGAGGAAACAAACGTTCGTAGATCAGAGGAGTGCCGGCAGTTGTGGACAAACGATCGAAATGACGACCATGCGAAGTGCGGTAGCAATTTTGAAAGGTAAACTACACGGGGTGCAGCAAGCACGTTCTGGACGTTACTTTGGGGCACTGGGTAGTCGGCCGTGTTAGGCCGAGAGAGAGAGAGGTTGAGAGAGAGTTGGAGAGAGAGTGGGAGAAGGAAACTTGATTGGAGAGAGACGGTGGTGGTGGTGGAGAGAGAGAGGGAAGAAGAAGTGCGCAGCACGCACGCAAGCCTCATCATCGCACCGACCACGCCCAAAGGGTCCCCGTGACTCCGCCGGTGGTACCATTCAACACACGAAATTCCCAACACGTATCCCCCTGGGATCCTCACGACCAGATACTGCTGCGAGTATATCTAACATCCCCCCTACTCGCAACAGTTTCTCACTGAAAACTTCGCCAACACCCGATATCTCAACCAAACAAAAGACGTCATTCCCAGAATATATACCATGAAGACTTGACCAGAATAATATAAGAGAGAAAAACAATGCAAAGAAACATGAATGCTGCATCGCGCGTAACAAATACTTGGCGCGGGAAATGAAGCAAAACGGGAAACAAAACAAGACCAAAGCACAACCCATCAGAAAAACAATAATATGTTCATGCCAAATTCATCACAAAATCATGGTGAGACTCGAAAGCACCCTTCGACAAGCTCTTCGTAAGAAAATCTGCACGCTGGTACGGCGACGTCACGTGGATGACCGACATTTCCTTCCTCTCTACAAGTTCCCTGANAAACGCATGTACATGTCTTCCTCCAACTCCGAACGCACAAAAGCTTGCTCAATATCGGAATGCGAAAGACACAAGTCGAGGTTCAACTCGCACGCCAAAGCAGCCAACATCCTAACACATAAAACAGAAACGGTAGGCGCGTACAACTCTCCAAAGTCAATGTACTCTCTCTGCATATCACCTCTCGCTACAAGTCTCGACTTAACCTTTGTGGGCCATCCAAACTCATCTGCCTTCCAATCGAATACCCACTTAGCGTTAATTGCGTTCTCCACTAATTGCTACTTCGCCAGAGTTCAAGTCCCCGCTTCCAACAAGCCATAAAACTCCCTTTGCATAGAGTCGCTCCAAAGGTGCCGGTGCTCCGACGCCATGGCCTCTTTGTAGCTCTTGGGGACACGAAGGTCGCTGGCCTGGCAGTGAGGAAGGTCAGGGCGTTGCTCCGGCGGGCGCTGGTCTCGCAGCGTGGCGTCGATGTCTTCCCGGTTGGCGAGGAGCGTGGCAAATGCGAGTGGAAAGCCCGCCCCTCCAGCCCCCGGGTCCACAGCTGCGAGTGCTTCCGCCTGCTCTCCGGTCCCCGCTCCCCCCGGCTCTCCGGCCTTTGCCCCCCCCAGCTCCCTGCGCTCCT